GAGAGAGGTTTAGGTTAGGGTTTATGTGAAGGATGAAGGTTGATTGGGAAGAAAATGAGAGAGACTATATTGGCCAAGGGGAAAACCGATTGGGTTGAAAAAGGTGAGGTTGTATGTACAGAGTATGACGAAAGGTGATTTGGAGGTCAATAGGGTGGAGCCGAAGAGTAATCAATCGGCTCCGACTATGGCATCCATGAAGACTGCCCCTGCGGCGTCAAAACCAGCAGGGGTGGTGGAGAAGAAGATTAGAGGATTCAAAAGCCATTAAAAAGAAAGGATCAGGGTTGTTAAACCGAAAGGGCTCTGATACCATGTGAATGTTTGATTAATCCACCACACCTAAATAGTGTGAAAGTTATCTTATTTATAATCAAATAAATTACAACGATATGGAAATAGTAATAAATGAAAATAACAATAAATGGAAAGATACCTATGATAATAAGGCAAATATTAGATATTTGCCTTATAATAAAATATCAAATATATATGGTAAACTATAATTTATTACTAAATATCCTTAACAGGTGGCCTTCTTGAATAAGAACCCCACCTAGGGCAAAGTCGGAAGCGTCTGTTTCTATTTCAAATGGCTTTGTAACATCTACCAATCCGAGGACAGGACCCCTCATCATGGTTGTTTTCAGATCTTCAAAGGCCATTTGACAATCATCTGACCACGACCAAGTGTGGTCTTTCTTCAACAGCTCTGTCAATGGGGCGACTCGTCGTGAAAACCCTTCGACGAACCGCCTATAGTAGTTGGCTAATCCTAAGAAGGACCGCAAATCGAATACGGAAGTAGGAACCTTCCATTCTTGGATAGCTTTTATCTTATCGCTATCCATACTAATTTGTCCACATTTGACGACATGTCCAAGGAAGTTGATGCATGTTTGTGCGAATGCACATTTCTCTTACATACAGTTGGTTTTGTCGTAGCTTGTCGAACACCAGCTTCAAGTGCACTTTGTGTTCCTTTAGGGTTGTGCTGTAAACCACTATGTCGTCGAGGTATACTATGACAAACTGATCCAAGTATTCGTAGAAAACTTGGTTCATCAACGTGCAGAAAGTAGCTGGAGCGTTTGTCAAGCCAAAGGGCATTACTAGGAATTCGAAGGCCCTATATCTTGTTACGCACGTCGTTTTGGGCTCGTCCCCTTCGGCAATACGTACTTGGTAATACCCTGATCGTAAGTCCAACTTCGTGAAGTACTTGGCCCCGTGAAGTTGGTCGAACAAGTCGGATATTATCGGCAGTGGATATTTGTTGCGTACCGTCACCTTGTTTAAGGCTCTATAGTCTATGCATAGACGCAACGTCCCATCCTTCTTCTTCTGGAACAGTACGGGGGCTTCGTAGGGTGCCTTTGCCGGGCGGATGAATCCCGCCTTCAGCAACTCATCCAGTTGTTTCCTTAATTCGGCTAGCTCGGGCGGAGCCATCCGGTATGCGTTCTTCGCTGGCGGTTTAACTCCGGGGATGAGTTCGATTTCGTGATCAATGCCTCGACGAGGTGGTAATGTTTGGGGTAAGCTCTCTGGCATTATGTCAGCATAGTCGTTTAGTACCTCATTGATTTCATTTGGGACAGTTTCTTCGGTGGTTGTTACTTCCATCAATGGTATGGCCATAAATGTAGGTTCCTCTCGTGCGAGTCCCCTTTTCAATTGTATGGCCGAGATCATTCGAAGATTACCTGGTTGCTTGATGCTTGCAGGTATTACTGTGGGGTTGTGGTCGGTGATCACTAAACATTTTGCCAGCGACATTGGGATAACTTTGTGTTCTAGGAGGAACTCCATCCCAAGTACCACGTCAAAGTCGTCCATGCGAGCTACGACAAGATCTAGCTCTCCTGTCCAATCCCCTATTTTAAAGGGGACTCTTTTGGAAACTCCCACAATAGGCAAGGCCTTAGAGTTGACAGCTTTCATTTTTCCCGGGTCCTTTCCTATAGTGAGTCCTAATCTTCGGGCTTCTTGATCGGCGATGAAGTTGTGGGTCGCTCCTGAATCTATCAGAGTGCTCCTATTCGGTTGGGAATTTATTGTCGCATCTACGAACATGAGTCCTTTCTCTACTATCTCCTTCGGTTCGACCTTCCGTTGGAGGGCTGACAAGAATTTAAGTGCGCCCATTCGGGGATTGTCTTGATCTTCCTTCTTGTCAAGCATAGTCTCAACCCTTGCGTCATTGCTCTCTTGAATGGACACTTGGAGCGCAATGAGAGAGGCCTGATGAGGACAGTAAGATACCTTGTGGGGACCTTTACACAACATGCATTGTAAAGGCGTCGTCGGGTGGTTCCTTTGATGGTAAGGTCCTCGAGATGTCCCCGCTTGGTTGTTCTGAGGAGGTCTATCCGTCCATCCGCTTGGTCTGTCGTTACCTCTGTTCGGCCTGTTGGGGCTTCCATTTCGATGACTTGGTGGTTTGTATGGCTTGCCCCCAGTGTTTGGGGCTGGTGTTATTCTTCTTTGGGATCCCGCTTCATTCCCATAGTCTAGGAGTCTCTCGGCACAGGCCATTGCGGCAGCTAGAGTTTGGACCTTGTTCTCGTGTAGCTTTGTTTTGGCCCACGGTTGTAACCCATTTATAAAGAACACCTTGTCCTTCTCTAATGTGCCCCTGATATCTAGCATCAGGGTTGAGAACTGTCTGACATAGTCTCGTATGCCTCCAGTGTGTTTCAGGGCTACTAGTTTTTCCATTGCTAAATGTCCTGCGTTTTCGGGGAGGAACTGGTCCCTCAACTCTTTCTTAAGGTCCTCCCACGAGTCAATGGTGCACAATCCATCCTCAATGTCTTGCACCTTCGTACGCCACCACAGTTTGGCGTCGTCTATGAGATACATCGAGGCTACGGTCACCTTCTTGTCGTCAGTACAAGCCGTTGTGGCTTTGAAGTACTGTTCGACATCAAAGATGAAGTTTTCCAACTCTTTGGCGTCCCGATTCCCTTTAAAGGCTCTAGGATCTGGGAATCTTAGTTTGTTGGACCCTGTATTAGTTTGTCCAGCCGTGACGTTCTCCACGGCTTTCATGGTCACTTCAATTCGTGTGCCCATGGAGGCCATCCTTTCTTGGATGTCGTCGATTGTTGTTCTGAACTCATCAGCTAATCCATTGAACAAGCTCATCATTGTATTTTGTAGCACGTCGAACTCTTCGCCACGTCCCTCCGTGTGCACGACAGAGCTATCCGGACTACCAGACGGTTTTGGGCTGCTCGTAGAAGCAACTCTTTCTTCGAGCGAGGTCACTCGAAACATCAATTCTGCGATTGGCAACCCATCCAGGCGGTTGCCCATTGCGTCGATTCCTACGACTTTCTCACTCAATTCGGTCACCCGTGCTTCCAGGAAGCGGAGGGTGTCAGGGACTTCTTTGAGGAACAGCATTTCCTCCTCTATTAGCGTAAGCCGGTCGGCTTGTACTTTGGGTGTCGACTTTGCCGTCGACATGGTTTCGGTCTTTACTGTGTCACGGAGCTAACAAGGCTCTGATACCACTTGACACAATCGCACGTTTAAAGGCAGCGGACTAGCGATTGTGCGGCACTCACTTTCCAACGACAAGTGAGCTAAGCCAATTTGTACTTGCGTCGCCTACGGCCAAGCGACGTATGATCAAGCCTCTAGCCTCGGTTTTAAAAGAAGGTTTTTGGAAAGCGAGGGTAGAGAGAGATTTTAGAAAGAGAGATTTTTGAAAGAGACGTTATATAAGCAAGTAAGAGAGAGATAACAACGGTTTAGCATATATAACCTTGGGTAGGGAGAAGTTGACAACTAGTCATATCCCCCTATAGTACATTTTGAGGCATTTCATGTCTGGCAGGCCTAGACATGATATTTTTGAGGCGTCATACGCCCTAGAACTACAAAAGTAAAAACACTAGAATGAAAAGACATGACAAGGGTTTGGCTTGCCATAGGCATGCGGCCATGGGCAACACGCCCTGGACGAGCATGACCGTGACACATAGCACCGTGGATTAGCACATTTGACTTTGGATCAAAAGGTTGTGGGTTCGATTCACACTGTGGTCTTCATTCTTTTTTCTTTTCAATCAGTTATTTTTATTTACCGTTTGTCGATTAATTACGCAATTTCGCCACTAACTGTAGCAGCATCTATCTGCTATTTTTATTTACCGTTTGTCGATTAATTACGCAATTTCGCCACTAACTGTAGCAGCATCTATCTGCGATCCCTATTAATTTTGCAAGTTCAGCACCAGCGGTAGAAGCACCATTCGCAAGTCACGAGGTGAAGAACAATTGACCGCATAGCGTAGTTGATTGGCGCGTCTGACTTTAGATTCGAAGGTCGTGGTTTTGACTCCCACTATGTTCGACTAGTCGATTAATTACTCAAGTTCGGCACTAACTGTAGTAGCACTCTCTGCGAGTCACGAGATGACAAACAAATGACCACATAGCGCAGTGGATTAGCGCGCCTAACTTCCCATGAGATCGTTGTGGGTTTGACTCCCACTCTGGTCGTCGGTCTTCTTTCTTTTCAATCTCTTAATTTTATTTATCGTTTGTCGATTAAATACGCAAGTTTGCCACTAGCTGTAGCAGCACTGTCTACGAGTCACGAGATGATGTACAAATGACCGCATAGCGCAGTGGATTAGCGCCTCTAACTTCGGATCAGAAGGTTGTGGGTTTGACTCCCACTGTGGTCATCTGTCTTCTTTCTTTTCAATCACTTATTTTTATTTATCGTTTGTCAATTAATTACGCAAGTTCATCAATAGATGTAGCAGTACTGTCTGCGATTCATAAAAGCATGAACAAATGATCGAATTATAGGTTAGTGCGTATGTCTTAAAATCATAAGGTTGTGGGTCCGAACCCCACTGTGGTTGTTGGTCTTCTTTCTTTTCAATCACTTATTTTTATTTATCGTGTGTCGATTAATTACACAAGTTCGCCACTAACTGTAGCAGCACTGTCTGCGAGTCACAAGATGATGAACAAATGACCGCATAGTGTAGTGGATTAGCATGTCTGACTTCGGATCAAAAGGTCGTGGGTTTGACTCCCACTGTCGTCGTCGTCGATCTTCTTTCTTTTCAATCACTTATTTTTATTTATCGTTTGTCGATTATTTACGAGATGATGAACAAATGACAGCATAGTGCATTGGATTAGCGAGTCTAACTTTGGATCAGATGGTCGTGGGTTTGACTCCTATTGTTGTCGTCGGTCTTCTTTACGAGATGAAGACAAATGACCGCATAGTTCATTGGATTAGCGAGTCTAACTTTGGATTAGATGGTTGTGGGTTTGACTCCTATTGTGGTCGTCGGTCTTCGTTCATTTAAATGTTTTATTTTTATTTATCGTTTGTCAATTAATTATGATTGTGGTCGTCGGTCTTCGTTCATTTAAATGTTTTATTTTTATTTATCGTTTGTCAATTAATTATGGAAGTTCATCAATAGTTGTAGCAGTACTGTCTACAACTCATAAGAGCATGAACAAATTACTGGATTATATATTAGTGCGTATGTCTTCAGACCAGTAGGTCGTGGGTTTGAACCCCACTGTGGTTGTTGGTCTTCTTTTTTTTCAATCACTTATTTATATTTATCGTTTGTCGATTTAATATGCAAGTTCGCCACTAGCTGTAGCAGCACTATCTATGAGTCACGAGATGATGAACAAATGACCGCATAGCGCAGTGGATTAGCGTGTCTGACTTCGGATCAGAAGGTCGTGGGTTCGACTCCCACTGTGGTCATCTGTCTTCTTTCTTTTCAATCACTTACTTTTATTTATCGTTTGTCAATTAATTACGCAAGTTCATAAATAGCTGTAGCAGTACTGTCTGCAACTAATAAGAGAATGAACAAATGATCGGATTATAGATTAGTGCGTATGTCTTAAAATCATAAGGTTGTGGGTTCGAACCCCACTATGGTTGTTGGTCTTCTTCCTTTTCAATCACTTATTTTTATTTATCGTGTGTCGATTAATTACACAAGTTCGCCACTAACTGTAGCAGCACTGTCTGTGAGTCACGAGATGATGAACAAATGACTTAATAGTGTAGTGGATTAACGTGTTTGACTTTAGATCAGATGGTCGTGAGTTTGATTCCTATTGTGGTCGTCGGTCTTCTTTCTTTTCAATGTATTATTTTTATTTATCGTTTGTCGATTAAATATGCAAGTTCGCAACAAACTGTAGCAGCACTCTCTACGAGTGACGAGATATCAAACAAATGATCGCATAGTGACACAATCGCACGTTTAAAGGTAGCGGACTAGCGATTGTGTGGCACTCACTTTCCAACGACAAGTGAGCTAAGCCAATTTGTACTTGCGTCGCCTACGACCAAGCGACGTATGATCAAGCCTCTAGCCTCGGTTTTAAAAGAAGGTTTTTGGAAAACGAGGGTAGAGAGAGATTTTAGAAAGAGAGATTTGTGAAAGAGACGTTATATAAGCAAGCAAGAGAGAGATAACAACGGCTTAGCATATATAACCTTGGGTAGGGAGAAGTTGACAACTAGTCATATCCCCCTATAGTACATTTTGAGGCATTTCATGTCTGGCAGGCCTAGACATGATATTTTTGAGGCGTCATACGCCCTAGAACTATAGAAGTAAAAACACTAGAATGAAAAGACATGACAAGGGTTTGGCTTGCCATAGGCATGCGGCCATGGGCAACACGCCCTGGACGAGCATGACCGTGACATCCTCCCCCACTTAATTGGTTGACGACCCCGTCAACCGACTACTTTCAAACCTAGCGTTGTGGGTGGCGGCGGATTTCAGGTCTTCGGCGCGTTCCCAGCTGGTTTCCTCTGTAGGGAGATTCTTCCATTTGACAAGGAATTCACGAATCGTCCGTACAGGTCATCCTATCTTCCTAACCCTGTCGGCGAGGATCTCCTCTACTTCTTTTGTTTCTTTTTGCCTCAGATCGATGCTCGGTCTTGTGGTTGCATTTCGTTGGTCGTCTTCTGGGTCAGGGTGGTATGGCTTCAAGTTACTCACATGAATTACTGGGTGGATTTTCATCCATGTGGGGAGTGCAACTCGGTAGGAGGTAGTCCCGATCTTTTTAAGGACTTCAACCGGGCCTTCATATTTACGAACTAGTCTCTGGTCCTTTCGGTTACGAGATGATGAACAAATGACCGCATAGGGATTAGCGCATTTGACTTCAGATCGAGATGATGAACAAATGACCGCATAGGGATTAGCGCATTTGACTTCAGATCAAAAGGTCGTAATTTTGACTCCCACTATATTCGGTCTGTTCCATTTTTGTGCACTTATTTTTATTTATCGTTTGACGATTAATTACGCAAGTTCGACACTAACTGTAGCAGCACTCTCTGCGAGTCACGAGATAACAAACAAATGACCGTATAATGCAGTGTATTAGTGCGTTTAACTTTAGATCAGAAGGTCATGGGTTCGACTCCCACTTTAGTTGGTTGGTCTTTTTTCTTTTCCATCACTTATTTTTATTATCGTTTGTCGATTAAATACGCAAGTTCGCCACTAGTTGTAGCAGCACTGTCTGCGAGTCACGAGATGATGAACAATGATCGCATAGCGCAGTGGATTAGCCCATTTGACTTCAGATCAGAAGGTCGTGGGTTTGACTCCCACTGTGGTCATCTGTCTTCTTTCTTTTCAATCACTTATTTTTATTTATCGTGTGTCGATTAATTACACAAGTTCTCCACTAACTGTAGCAGCACTGTTTACGAGTCACGAGATGATGAAGAAATGACCGCATAGTGTAGTGGATTAGCGTGTTTGACTTTGGATCAGATGGTCGTGGGTTTGACTCCTATTGTTGTCGTCGGTCTTCTTTACGAGATGAAGACAAATGACCGCATAGTTCATTGGATTAGCGAGTCTAACTTTGGATTAGATGGTTGTGGGTTTGACTTCTATTGTGGTCGTCGATCTTCTTTCTTTTAAATGTTTTATTTTTATTTATCGTTTGTTAATTAATTATGCAAGTTCATCAATAGTTGTAGCAGTACTGTCTGCAACTCATAAGAGCATGAACAAATGACCGGATTATATATTAGTGCGTATGTCTTTAGACCAGTAGGTCGTGGTTTCAAACCCCACTGTGGTTGTTGGTCTTCTTTCTTTTCAATCACTTATTTATATTTATCGTTTGTCGATTAAATATGCAAGTTCGCCACTAGCTGTAGAAACACTATTTACGAGTCACGAGATGATGAACAAAGAGATGATGAACAAATGACTGCATAGCTAAAGGATATTTAATAATAAATTATAGTTTACCATATATATTATATTTGATATTTTATTATAAGGCAAATATCACCATATATATTATATTTGATATTTTATTATAAGGCAAATATCACCATATATATTATATTTGATATTTTATTATAAGGCAAATATTAGATATTTGCCTTATTATCATAGGTATGTTTCCATTTATTGTTATTACCATTTATTACTATTTTCATATCCTTGTAATTTATTTGATTATAAATAAGATAACTTTCACACCATTTAAGTGTAGTGGATTAATCAAATATTTATAGTTTGACTTTGGATTAGAAGGTTGTGGGTTCAACTCCTACTGTGGTCATTTGTCTTCTTTCTTTTCAATCACTTATTTTTATTTATCGTTTGTCAATTAATTACGCAAGTTCATCAATAGCTGTAGTAGTACTGTGACTCATAAGAGCATGTACAAATGACCGGATTATAGATTAGCGCGTATGTCTTAAGATCAAAAGGTTGGGTTTGAACCCCAATGTGGTTGGTAACTCTTCCTTCTTTTCAATCACTTATTTTTATTTATCGTTTGTCAATTATTTACGAGATGATGAACAAATCACGCATAGTGCATTGGATTAGCGAGTCTAACTTTGGATCAGATGGTCGTGGGTTTGACTCCTATTGTGGTCGTCGGTCTTCTTTCTTTTCAATGTTTTATTTTTATTTATCGTTTGTCGATTAAATATGCAAGTTCGCCACAAACTGTAGCAGCACTCTCTATGAGTGACGAGATATCAAACAAATGATCGCATAGCATAGTGGATTAGCACATTTGACTTCGGATCAAAAGGTTGTGGGTTTGATTCGCACTGTGGTCTTGCTTCTTTTTTCTTTCCAATTAGTTATTTTTATTTATCGTTTGTCGATTAATTACGCAATTTCGCCACTAATTGTAGCAGCATCATCTGCGAGTCACGAGACGATGAAAAAATGACCGCATAGCATAGTAGATTAGCGCGTCTGACTTCGGATCAGAAGGTCGTTGGTTCGACTTCCATTGTGGTCGATGATGTCCCTATTAATTTTGCAAGTTCAGCACTATCGGTAGAAGCACCATCTGCAAGTCATGAGATGAAGAACAATTGACCGCATAGCGCAGTTGATTGGCGCGTCTGACTTCAGATTCGAAGGTCGTGGTTTTGACTCACACTATGTTCGGTCAGTCGATTAATTACGCAAGTTCGGCACTAACTGTAGCAGCACTCTGTGCGAGTCACGAGATGACAAACAAATGACCACATAGCGCAGTAGATTAGCGTGCCTAACTTCCCATTAGATCGTTGTGGGTTCGACTCCCACTTTAGTCGTTGGTCTTTTATCGTTTCTCGATTAAATACGCAAGTTTGCCACTAGCTGTAGCAGCATTATCTGTGAGTCACGAGACAACAAACAAATGACCGCATAGCATAGTAGATTAGCGCTTCTGACTTCGGATCAGAAGGTCGTTGGTTCGACTTCCATTGTTGTCGATGATGTCCCTATTAATTTTGCAAGTTCAGCACTAGCGATAGAAGCACGATCTGCAAGTCACGAGGTGAAGAACAATTGGCCGCATAACGCAGTGTATTAGCGTGTCTCACTTCAGATCAGAAGGTCTTGGGTTTCGACTCCCACTGTGGTCGTTGGTCTTCTTTCTTTTTAATCACTTATTTTTATTTATCGTTTGTCGATTAATTAGGCAAGTTCGCCACTATCGGTAGCAGCACTGTCTGCGAGTCACGAGATAACGAACAAATTATCGCATAGTGCAGTGGATAAGCGCGTCTGACTTCGGATCAGAAGGTTGTGGGAGTCGACTTCCATTGGGCTCGATGGATGTTCCTATTAATTATGCAAATTCAGCAGTAGATGTAGAAGTACAATCTGCAAGTCACGAGGTGAAGACCAAATGATCACATATCGTAGTTGATTTGATTAGTGCGTCTGACTTCATATTAGAAGGTCGTGTTTTTTACTCCCATTATGGTTAGTCTTTTTCCATTTTTATTCACTTATTTTTATTTATTGTTTGACGACTAATTACACAAGTTTGCTACTAACTTTAGCAGCACCATTTGCCAGTGGATTAGTGCGACTGACTTAGGATCAGAAGGTCATGGGTTTGATTTCCATTATGGTTGATGATGTTCCTATTAATTTTGCAAGTTTCGCACTAGGTGTAGAAGCTCCATCTGCAGTCACAAGACAATAAACAAATGAATACATAACGCATTGGATTAGAGCGTCTGACTTCGCATGGGTTTGACTCCCACTGTGATTGTTAGTCTTCTTTCTTTTAAACCACTTATTTTTATTTATCGTTTGTCAATCAATTACGCAAGTTCGGCACTAAACTAGCAGCACTCTCTTCAAGTCACGGGATGAAAAACAAATGACCGCATAGGGCAGTGGATTAACGCATCTAACTTCGCAACAGATTGTTGTGGGTCCGACTCCCCCTGTGGTTGTCGATCTTCTTTCTTTTCAGTCACTTATTTTTATTTATCGTTTGTCGATTATTTACGAGATGATGAACAAATGACAGCATAGTGCATTGGATTAGCGAGTCTAACTTTGGATTAGATGGTTGTGGGTTTGACTCCTATTGTGGTCGTCGGTCTTCTTTCTTTTAAATGTTTTATTTTTATTTATCGTTTGTCAATTAATTATGCAAGTTCATCAATAGCTGTAGCAGTACTGTCTGCAACTCATAAGAGCATGAACAAATTACTGGATTATATATTAGTGCATATGTCTTCAAACCAGTAGGTCGTGGGTTCGAACCCCACTGTGGTTGGTTGGTCTTCTTTTTTTTCAATCACTTATTTATATTTATCGTTTGTCGATTAAATATGCAAGTTCGCCACTAGCTGTAGCAGCACTATCTACGAGTCACGAGATGAACAAATGACCGCATAGCGCAGTGGATTAGCGCGTCTGACTTCGGATCAGAAGGTCGTGGGTTCGACTCCCACTGTGGTCATCTATCTTCTCTCTTTTCAATCAGTGATTTTTATTTATCGTTTGTCAATTAATTACGCAAGTTCATAAATAGCTGTAGCAGTACTGTGTGCAACTAATAAGAGAATGAACAAATGATCGGATTATAGATTAGTGCGTATGTCTTAAAATCATAAGGTTGTGGGTTCGAACCCCACTATGGTTGGTTGGTCTTCTTCCTTTTCAATCACTTATTTTTATTTATCGTGTGTCGATTAATTACACAAGTTCGCCACTAACTGTAGCAGCACTGTCTGTGAGTCACGAGATGATGAACAAATGACTTAATAGTGTAGTGGATTAACGTGTTTGACTTTAGATCAGATGGTCGTGAGTTTGATTCCTATTGTGGTCGTCGATCTTCTTTCTTTTCAATGTATTATTTTTATTTATCGTTTGTCGATTAAATATGCAAGTTCGCCACAAACTGTAGCAGCACTCTCTACGAGTGACGAGATATCAAACAAATGATCGCATAGAGACACAATCGCACGTTTAAAGGCAGCGGACTAGCGAAATCGCACGTTTAAAGGCAGCGGGCGAAATCGCACGTTTAAAGGCAGCGGACTAGCGATTGTGTGGCACTCACTTTCCAACGACAAGTGAGCTAAGCCAATTTGTACTTGCGTCGCCTAAGGCCAAGCGACGTATGATCAAGCCTCTAGCCTCGGTTTTAAAAGAAGGTTTTTGGAAAACGAGGGTAGAGAGAGATTTTAGAAAGAGAGATTTGTGAAAGAGACGTTATATAAGCAAGCAAGAGAGAGATAACAACGGCTTAGCATATATAACCTTGGGTAGGGAGAAGTTGACAACTAGTCATATCCCCCTATGGTACATTTTGAGGCATTTCATGTCTGGCAGGCCTAGACATGATATTTTTGAGGC